TCTATCTCACTTGAGTATTTCTATTTTATTCTTTGCTTTATTACAGTTCAGAGGAAAGTACTGTGCTAACAGCTGTTTAGATGTTCTGTTAGGTCAAGAATGTCCATACGAATGCACAGCTGCAGTCGGATAAACACTGAAGATACAATACATCATAATTAAACATTAAACCACCATCTTTCCTGCTTGAGACCGTTATAAGCCTTGTCTTGGGATTCTTTCATACGATCAGTTTTCCCTCTTGAGCAACTTTAATAACATACTGCTTATACAATAGTGGTCCATGTGACAGCCGGGGACATTGTTCAGCCTAATGTGTACTTAATACTACTGATGATGTACTTTTATTGAAGATTTTACTGGTGGTGGAAATGTTTTACATATTTCTATCAGACTACATCTTCCACCATTTTAGATTTTGCTGATAAAACAGGAAGCACTTTTAGTAAGGTAAGGCACATTTATACTTGTGCAGTATTACTATAGACTGCTCTATTGGTACTTTATATAAACTTGGGTACTATGTTCACATTTCTTTAGTTTGAAAAAAAAAAAACGGTTTCTAATTCACTTTGAAGAAACCCACAGCCTTACCCGGCCACGTTTGCAGACTGTGTACTGACGCAGAAAATAAAGATGTAGAATCTGTTCAAAAGGAAGTTCAGTTCCTGTTTGAACCAGTCTGCTGGCAGTTAGATTGCCTCACTTGTCGTTTCAACGAGGAAGAAAACCCGTTACTTCCAGCCAATAGCAACAAGGACCATGTGACATTCAGCCAATCAGATTGAGCAGGACGCTTCCGGCGGCTCGCTGAGTATAAAAGCTTCCCCCGGCGATGCTCTCACCAAATCCTCTCACACTGGACTCTTAAACGTCCGTCTGTGGAGGCAGCTTTCTATCTTCCTCTTTTGAATTCTGATCTCTAAACGCTTCGACTTTAAGAAACATGGTAAGTAGAAAAAGTTTCGTTTTTTTTCTCCATCAATCTGTGATTTACCTAAATTCAATACTGAAGCGTTTCTTGAACAGTTTTTTTTTTTTTTTTTTTTTAAGGGTCGCCATTTTAGCTTTAATAATTACCTTCCAGGCTGTTATCAAGCTTAGTCTTCAGTTTCGACTAACTGAACCGAGCACAGGCCAAATTCAAGTTGAACTGTGGCTGCCTGTTGGATTTTTGCACATTGACCCAGTTGTCAGAGGTCAAAGTGAAGCATTCCTGTTTCAGCGCCTCTTTGAAGGGGCCTTTATGCAGCTGCAGCCACAGGCTTTCTAAACAAAACCCATTCACTCAGGCCTCTATGAGCCTTTCTGTGTGTAATCTGTCAGGTTCTGTAGGCCTGCTGTGCTGAACTTTGATGTAAAAATGTTTGCTCTCAACACAAGAGTTTCTTTTCTTCTGCAGTACAGTATATCCCCTAGCAATAAGCTGCTGTGTGGTATTTGTAAAGGCTTTCCTGTTCAGAGGTTGGTATGCCTGTGCAACATGTGTCAGATGATGGTAGTCATGATGTTCTATCTATAGTCATTCTTAACAAAAGAACCTTTTTCCTCTCCCTTGAAATTTTAACTCAAGAGCAGCCTTCAACATGTGATTTTAAAGCCCTCAGCGAGTGACATGGTCCTGATAGCATGAGGACATTTAAAGACGGCTTTATAGCTACCCACACTTAATTTTACAATTTAAACTATTCAGAACTATTAAAAAATAAATTCACACATTTTTTTTTTTTAACACAGCGTGAGTGTATCTCAGTCCACGTCGGTCAGGCTGGTGTCCAGATCGGCAACGCCTGCTGGGAGCTGTACTGCCTGGAACATGGGATCCAGCCGGACGGTCAGATGCCCAGTGACAAGACCATTGGAGGAGGAGATGATTCCTTCAACACCTTCTTCAGCGAGACTGGAGCTGGAAAACACGTCCCCAGGGCCGTGTTTGTGGACCTGGAGCCCACAGTCATCGGTAAGTGTTGTGATTGAGACAAACTGAAGTGAAATATCTAAAAAAAAAAAAAAAAAAATTTTAAATGGTTCACTCAAAGTATGGTTTTTGTCTCCTTAGATGAGGTGCGCTCTGGGACCTACCGCCAGCTTTTCCATCCTGAGCAGCTGATTACTGGCAAGGAAGATGCTGCCAATAACTACGCACGTGGACATTACACGATTGGGAAAGAGATCATTGACCTGGTGCTTGACAGGATCCGCAAACTGGTGGGTAAATTCAGAACAATTGTGTTCCAAACTTATCTTCCAAAGAGAGAATTAAGTAGCATAGCTGTATCTCATATTTGCTTGCTGTCCCTCCCTCTCTGTCCTCAGGCTGACCAGTGCACTGGTCTTCAGGGCTTCCTGGTGTTCCACAGCTTCGGTGGCGGCACCGGCTCTGGTTTCACCTCTCTGCTGATGGAGCGTCTGTCCGTGGACTATGGCAAGAAGTCCAAGCTGGAGTTCTCCATATACCCAGCTCCCCAGGTGTCCACTGCTGTGGTGGAGCCCTACAATGCCATCCTGACCACCCACACCACCCTGGAGCACTCTGACTGTGCCTTCATGGTGGATAACGAGGCCATTTATGACATCTGTCGCAGGAACCTCGATATCGAGCGCCCGTCTTACACCAACCTGAACAGGCTGATCAGTCAGATTGTGTCCTCAATCACTGCCTCTCTTCGTTTCGATGGCGCCCTTAATGTTGACCTGACTGAGTTCCAGACCAACTTGGTGCCATATCCACGTATCCACTTCCCTCTGGCCACCTACGCTCCTGTCATCTCCGCTGAGAAGGCTTACCACGAGCAGTTAACTGTATCTGAGATCACAAACGCCTGCTTCGAGCCGGCCAATCAGATGGTGAAGTGTGACCCTCGCCACGGCAAGTACATGGCCTGCTGCCTTCTGTTCCGTGGCGATGTGGTGCCCAAAGATGTCAATGCTGCCATCGCCAACATCAAAACCAAGCGCACCATCCAGTTTGTGGACTGGTGTCCCACTGGTTTCAAGGTGGGCATCAACTACCAGCCGCCCACCGTGGTTCCTGGTGGAGACCTGGCCAAGGTGCAGAGGGCTGTGTGCATGCTGAGCAACACCACCGCCATCGCTGAGGCCTGGGCTCGGCTCGACCACAAGTTTGACCTGATGTACGCTAAGCGTGCCTTTGTTCACTGGTATGTGGGTGAGGGCATGGAGGAGGGAGAGTTCTCCGAGGCCAGAGAGGACATGGCTGCTCTGGAGAAAGATTACGAAGAGGTCGGGGCTGATAGTTTGGGAGACGACGATGACGAGGGAGAAGAGTATTAAACAGACATGCATTCCATTGTCTTGATCTGTGTTGTTTGATTAGTGTCAAAAATAAAAGTTTTTCTGGCTGCACTATTGCGTTCTCATTTATTACATAGGACAGACATACCATTTCAGTGTTTATAAAAGAAGTGCATATTACTGCTCAGTTTTTGTACTCTTGCTAAGAATGTGCATTAAACTGGTCCCATTTCACTCCAACCCAGTATTATGTTTAACGGAACCTCGGCCTAATAGAAGAAGCTTTATTGTTAATGTACAAAAAATACAATGAAATTTTGTAGCAGCTAATATGGCCACAGTCTAAGGAAAAAAAAAAGAGTTAAAGTGATTTAAATAATAAAATAGCAATAAATTAAGTACTCAAGTAAAAGTGCAAAACGGCATTCGTTTGAATAAAATTTGGGTGAAGCTCTAATATACTTGGATAGAGATGGAGCTCTACTTATTTCAGTCACTTGGGGGCAATAATGTCCAACAAATGAATGGACTACCATATTGAAGGACCAAAGCAGCAACTACTGAATTGCCTGTCCTGCATCAAACGTTAGCACATCATCTGCAGATCTCATATTTACGACATACTATTTACTGCATGAACATACAATTTGTGTCTCTGTCAGAAGCTACCTGACTGTTAAGAACCAAGGCCTAATCCTAGCCGGGGTTAAACCAGGGTGTGGTGTCCACTGTGGCCCAAGGGAAGGAATAAATGGTGTCTCATGTTAGCAGACAGGGGATGGTTAGAATATTTAGTTGTGCTGTTGCTAGACTGGATTTCCTTTGAATAAGGAGTGATGTGTAGAACTGAATATGTTTAGAAACTTGTAAAGCCAGAAGTGGGTGATGCAAATTAATATGGGAAAGAAGACCTTTATTCCAACTGATTCACCAAAATACAACACATCCAGAAGTGTCGTAAATGTTTTAGTTTGAGCTTCTATCCCAGCCAACTTAGGGTGAAGGCAGGGGACACCCTGGACAGGTCACCAGTCTATCGCAGGGCCACACTTAGAGACAGACAACCAAGCACACTCACATTCACACCTACGGACAATTTAGAATCACCAATTAACCTCAACATGGTTTTTGGACTTGTGGGAGGAAGCCGGAGAACCCGGAGAGAACCCACACTGCACGGGGAGAAATGCAAACTTCACGCAGAAAGATCCTGGTTCCCCCACCGGGACGCAAACCGGCAACCTTCTAGCTGCGAGGCAACAGTGCTATTAACTGCGCCACCTTGCAGCCCATGCAGCCATGTCTTGAGACCTATAACAAAATTAGCTACGCATGCATATTTAGGGGAATTTGATAAATACGGTTTGATACAAATTTGATTTGTGTTTACTATATACTTTAAAGACTACTGGTTTCTACACTGACTTTTGAAATTGCTTTCTTCTCTTCCAGGACAGCAGTTCATATTTGGTCATGTTAACCTAAAATCAGTTACACATTTAGAAGTTTCCACTGAATCCTAATGTGCTTTGTGCAATCATCATCCTCCTGCAGAGAGAGACATTCTGAGCCCTAATAGCCACAAGCAGCAAAGAAAGATGCCATTTCCTAAGATAAAATATTCACTTCTCCCTTAAAAGTTTCAGTAACACACATTAAACAGATCCTTCTAATACATTCTTATCAAGTTTTGAAGTTTGTTCACCCAAACAGTTTCATCAATAAGAACACATAAGAGAAGGGAGAAATATTGATATTTCAACTTTAATCACATAATGAACAATTCTATGAGCAACATAAGGACTCAGCTCTGCCATCCTCTGAACTAGATACAGTATCTGGTGTTCTTCAATGTTGGGAATCTGTATCGACCTGGTAACCATGTTCCTACAGCAAAAAGCCTTTTTTCTGTGAAAGGTCTAACACACACACACAGAATTACCAACTGACGTATTTGGCACACAGGCCAGTATTTCCGTAGCTTGTTTGCTACACAAGCATCAGACAAACAGATGAGGACAAAAATGGACAAGCCAACAGCGGGGCAGCCATGATTGCAGGCTGTGTGCCTGGAAAGTTCAGTCTGAGTTGTACCGCCCCACCTGATGCTGTTAGGAGACAGTATTAATGTCAGAAGGCATTTCTTAGTTTCCTTTTGTCTTAGGATCCTCCTCTTTGTCGTGTAAAAAACAGAAATAATAAAATGAAGGACGAAGTACATGAGCAGGTGGACATGCGGGCACATAGATCTACTCCAGCACCACAGTGCCGCCTGCTGCCTCCAGGGCTGCTTTAAGTTTCTCTGCCTCTTCTTTGGATACGTTGGCCCGGATTTCCTGTGGAAGAGACTCCACTAGCTTCTTAGCCTGGTTTAGAAAGGACAGAGAAAAAAAAAACAGATTTAGTGATGCCACAAAATCTGTATCTTCTATCAGGAGGTGTACTCAGTCTATCTTCAACATTGAAGTGATCCATTTTTGCTTCGCTAAGTCTGATCAAGCTGAAACCTTTTCTTATTATAAACTATGATGCTCTAAACACAGCAAGTGAGCTGCCATGAACACAACATTAAACTCTTAAGGACGAGTGTCGTTGAACTATTTAGCAACACAAGAATAGGAGTGACAACATATTCTACTGCAGATATTTATACCAACAATATTCAGTGCTGCAATCAGAGCAGATTTAAATGTTTGTCATTTAAAATGTATATTTAGATTTCAGCAATATCTTGAAGGTACTACATGCTTCACAATATGCTACTAGTGTAAAAACCTGTGTTTGAAATTCAGGACTTCTTCTGTGTTATGTGCTGGGCAAGTATCACTGTCTAAACATTCCTACACTTATGGATTGACAATGATACTTATGTTTCAACAGATAACACAAAAACCTGTATGACATTAAAAACAGTTTGGGAGACCACAAAAGTGAAGCTGTGTTAGAGCCCAGTGCTAGCTGGTAAAGCTGAAAAATCTATCCTGGTCAAATGTTTTATATTCGTCAATATCAACAATTATTGATCATGAAATGATCTTTTTTCCCCCCCCAAATAAAGAGAAATACAAAAATGGACTGCTTTGAATTTAACCACTTTCTCAAGGCTCACAGGTAATAATTCCAACGTTAACTAAAGAATGAAAACCACAGACATACAAATAAATAAGAATTAAGGGATGATCCCACCTTGATAAACATGAGATGTGTTAGCAATAAAAACACCGACGACACTCTTGTACTTTGAGTAAACAGAGAGCAACCAGTGTGAAGCTGCTGCACCATGCTAAGGTTTGACCTTAGCATGGTGATGGGTCAGGACCAGGTGTCTCTGGACAGGGAAACTGGAATCTGTCAGAGCAGGCCACTAGGAGAGTGTTGCTCAGGTGAAGGTGGTGGGGTTGTCTGGTTGAAAGTATGAGGCCTGGATTTGAGAGGTGTTTTTGACCATAAAGCCTGTTTCACTATAGCAACTGTTGGTCTACCTGGCCACAGCCTCCAACAGGGGAGATGTGCCAGCCATGGGAAGAGCAACAGAGGGTAGCATTTCTCCATTAGACTATGATGGATCTGATGGACAATTCATGAGCCATTCATGAGCCAGGGAGGGAGCATGTATGGGGTTTGCTCATGCAACTAAAACACATGTTTCATTTCATGGCAGCTTGCATTAATGCATATAAGAGAAATTATCAAACATCCTACTGAACTCAATTGATGGACTGTCTATTGCCATATCACTTGTTTCATTGTGTGACTCTAAATTTCTGCAGAGATTTAAAATGGTTTAAGGGTCTGTATAAGCAGGAAGTACGAAATATTAAAGGTGTCCTAAGAAGTTAGCGTTCGGTCTATCTAACCCAGGGGTGTCGAACTGCGGTCCTCGAGGGCC